TTTTGTAACTCATCAATTATTAAACAAAATCAAATGGGAATTTGGTTATATCTTTTTAAAAGATGATTTTAGAAGTTAGATATAAAAACTAAAACATATTTTAAGAAAAACAAATTTAATTCACCTCAAAAGTTTACCCTGCGTTTCTTTTTCCTTTCAGTATATATCATTCTTCTGCTTCCGATTAATTGAATTATTCAAAGAAAATTTCCTTAGATGTCGAACATATTAAGATGTAAGGAAATTAAAACATCATAAATTTCTTTCCTTCTCATAATGGTACATTATTGAATAGAAATGGTAAACTGAGTTTGAAATCTAGCAGAGGCTATCTTTTTTTTTTGCGGAAATGCGGCGTATTACTGCGTATCTCTTCTAATTACATGTATATATATGAATTTAAAAGGTGCAAAGAATTGAATTTTATTACTAAACAAATACTAAAAGCATTTTATTAATTGACTGATATTAACAACTTTGAATTAAAGTTTTAAGATACATCAAAATAAAAGTTTTCCCAGCAAAATACAATTTTTTTAACCTTTGGAATCTTCATATCCAAGGGCAGATTTCGAGTGAAAAAAAAATCAGTGAAAACAGATTTTTTTTCTTACTAAATGGTCAAACTAAAAAAAAATTGTCATTTTGTATCTTTATATGACTACTCCACCGTATGTAAAATTAATGAAAAGGTATAAATATAGGAAAAATAACTTATTTTCCCGAACCTTTAAAAAAAATATAGAAAAATCAGAATGGCCAATATCTATTTTTAGTTCATTTTTTAAAATTTGGAAATATTGTTTTTAACATGTAGGTCCTATAAAATATTTTTTTATGCTAAAAAATTAATCTTAGAAATAAATATAGGCAATGCTTATTAATAGGAAAATTTTACTGTCAGGGAAAAAGACCTTTACCTGACCTTGTGTTTAGAATTAAACGGTCACATTTAATATATGGATCACATACTGATATTGTTCTCCTTACACTGAGAAAATTCACTAATAAATGTGCTTACCTTGGCTTTGGCATTCTTTCTGAAACTAAAATTAGATAATTCTTTACTGGTAACATTTTAATTGACAATTAATTATAAAGAAGTGAAATAAATGCATAAAGGCCGGTATACACGATGAGATTTGTAGTATAATGCATTTGTATTATAATATTTTTCTGTACTCACGCTAATACATATATTATAAGATTGTATATAAACTACGTACTCGAACGTGTTTTCCCCGCCATATTTCTCTCTCTGTCAAAGTAATAAAAATGGAGAATGGGGCTCTGATAGCAGTGTCTATCATTGTACTGTGCTCTGCTTGATATATTCCACAAGTCTTTTTCCCTTTCCCATTAAGTCACGAGTTTTTCGATGTCTTAACTTGTAAAGTCGTGCTTTTTTAGTAATGATAAAAATTTGATGACCCCAAGTGTCATTACATTTCATTGGTTGAAAGTGATAGGTAATTATAAGTTAAGACTTGAATGTATAAGGAAATAGAGCTTTGCTCTATTCTTAATGCAGTTTTATAAGCTTTGAAAAATCTTATGATACAATGTATTAAGAGTGTATACACAGTCAGATTTTGTATCATAATACTAATCTTATAATACAAATCTTACCGTGTATACCAGCCTAAACAAAAAGCATACTTACCATGGCATTTTATCTGATATTTTCTGTTGAGAAATATCAACGTGATAAGTATTATCAAAAGAACTCCCCCGACTGTGCCACCAGTTATTCCTCCTATACTTGATTCTTTGGTAGATTTAACGAAGACTTCTATGAAAAGAAATGTATATCTTATTTAAGGAATGAAGCTATTTTCAACTTACACTATACGATATAACATAACTTGGGGCAGTTTACGCTTTATAAAACGCGAAGCAGTTTATAAGAAAGCGTAAACTGTCCCAATTTTTGTTATATCGTATAATATAAGTTGAAATAAGCTTCATTCCTTATCATTTAATTTCAATGCAGACAATGAGACAATTTTCTCCCCAGAATAAGGCTTCACAATGATTAATAAAAGTGACGTCAAGCGGAGTAATACGTATTTTGACGTAACTCATTGTGACGTAGGCAAGTTATGTTATCCAAAATGGATAAAATATTTTATCCAATCAAATGACGTGTTACAAGTAAAATTATATTATTAGTGTTTAACGCTGGATAAGAGTACAGTGGGTAAATGTATTACAAGAGGCCCATGGGCCACATCGCTCACCTGAGCACATGGGCTTGTTAAAAAACACATCCGCTCAGTATTGAAAAGTTTACTTATAGGGAGAGGGGGGATTTGATTTTTTTTATTACTTGAGAATGTCAATATATCAATAAAGCATATATGTATAATTTTGCCATACTTGAGAAAAAGAGTTTTAAAGATTTTTCCTATATACATGTATTTTTATCTAAAGATTTGATTGATCATTATGGCCCGACCTTACCCCGGGGGTCATTATATGAACAAACTTGAATTAACTTTAATTGAGGACACTACCACATGAGTTTCATCTTTCCTGGCCAAATGGTTCTGGAAAAGAAGATTTTTAATGATTTTTCTTATATATTCCTTTGCAAAGATTTGATCAACCATTGTGGACCGCCCTACTCCCGGGAGTCATGATTTGAACAAACTTGAATCTTCACTACCTGAGGATGCTTTCACACGAGTTTCAGCTTTCCTAGCCCAATGGCTCTGGAAAAGATTTAAGATTTCTCCTATATATTCCTATTTAACATTAAACATTTGATCAGCCATTGTGGCCCCGCCGTATTCCCGGGGGTTATTATATGAAAAAACTTGAATGAACTCTAACTGAAGATGTTTCCATATTAATATCACCAATTGTAGCTTGGCTGATCTTGAGAAGATTTAAAAACATTTTCCCTATGCCTATGTAAGACTTTGATCAGCCATTGTGATCCCACCCTATCCTCGGGGGTCTTGATTTGAACAAATTTGAATCTACACTACCTGAAGATGCTTCCACGTTCGTTTCATCTTTGCTGGCCATATGGTTTTGGAGAGGATTTAAAAAAAAATCTTATATAATATTTCAATGTAAAACTTTGATAAGTCATTGTGGCCCCGCCCTACCCTCGGGGATCAGGATTTCAACAAACCTGATCTACACTACCTTAGGATGCTAGCATATAAATACAATCATCCATGCCATTGCTATGCTTGAGAAGAAGAATTTTAAAGAATTTAATTCCCTTTAAGTTTCTAGGTAAAACTTTGATTGGCCATTGTGGCCCCCTGCTACCCCAAGAGTTCATGATTTGAACAAATCTGAATTTACACTACCTGCTTCCATGTTTCCATATGTTTCCATATAAATATGATCATTGATGCCTTGGCTATTCTTGAGAAGATGAATTTTAAAGAATTTTCCTATAAATTTATATGTAAAACTTTGATCGGCCATTGTGGCCCGGCCCTACACCGGGGGTCATTATTTGAACAAACTTGAATCTACACTACCTGAGGACACTACCACATCAGTTTCATCTTTCCTGGCCTCATGGTTCTGGAGAAAAGTTTTAAAGATTTTCCCTATATATTCCTATGTAAACATTTGATCAGCTATTGTGGACCCACCCTATCCTGGGGGTCATGATTTGAACAAACTTGAATCTACACTAAACGAGGAAGCTACTACAAGAGTTTCATCTTTCCTGTTCCAATAGTTCTGGAGAAGATTACTTTTTAGAAGAAATTTCCTTTATCATGTAAATATTCCTATCTAAAACTTAAATCAGCCATTGTGGCCCCGCCATACCCCCGGGGGTCATGATTTGAATTAACTTGAATCTACACAACCTGAGGACACTACCACATGAGTTAAAGCTTTCCCGTCACAATTGTTCTGGAGAAGAAGATTTTAAAAGATTTTCCCTATATATTCCCGTGTAAACATTTCATCAGCTATTGTGGCTCCGCCGTACCCCGGGAATCATGATTTGAACAAACTTGAATCCACACCACCTGAAGATGCTTCCATATGAGTTTCATCTTTCCTAGCCCAGTGGTTCTGAAGAAGAAGAATTTTTTTTAAAAATGGCATTAATTTTTCACTAATTCCTAATTATCTGCCCTTGGAAGAGGGCTTGGCCCTTCATTGGGACAAAATTGAATCCCATTAATTCAAGGAAACTTTGTGGCATGTTTGATTGAAAATGGCCCAGTGGTTCTTGAGAAGATGGTGAAAATGTGAAATGTTTACGTGAACAAGGACGACGACAACGATAGACAACGGACATAGCCTTTGGCTCAGGTGAGCTAAAAAGTTGTCAAATTCAACACTGTATTCCGTATTTTCGAGATCTTATTCTTTATCACACATGTCTCTACCGGTCACGGTAGCCTAGTGGTAGAACGTTCGCTTTGTATTCGGAGGCCTGGGTTGATTTTCCTTCACGTCGCCGCGTCAAACTTAAGCGTAAACATAGGTAGTGACTGTTCCTTCGCCACGCGCTCTGCATTAGAAGCGAAAGTCACAGGTCCCGTGTCACGGTATGCATTGATACGATAATGGCCCTGATTGCGAAGTATACACCCTTACTAATGTTATTGTGATTTAAATTCAAGACACGTGGTTTGGGTTTACCTATTCAAAGGTTATAGGGTAGAACCGGTTTTATGAATAAAATTGGCAGTAAACAGGAAATTGCTATAGTCTGTTTCCTCTGATAACATCCCTGTGAAAAATGTGTTTCCACAACTTTCTGAAAGACTTTCATGATTTTCAACAGAAATGGGTAGCTTAGGGGGGGTAATAACAATTAATACATTTTATTATAATAAACTGCAAAAAATTACAGCTCACTAGTACTCACTGGTATGAGAAAATTTGTAACATCATCTACACTGACAAACCTTTGTTTGCCTTATATGGCTATTGCTATTAATGCGCACAGGGGATTTTACCACGAGCAATGAACCAATTGTTGCATGAATACGTTAACGCCAAATAAATTTTTACATGTTACTTCGAACAAGTGGTTCAGGTCAATCTATGATCATGTCAATGGAAAGAAAATAAAAAAAAGCTCCTATGAACAAAATGCAAACATTAGAAACTATGAAAAATATCACGTGCGTTTTTAATTTTTTGTTAACTAGAGAAAAATATGTTTTTAAATAAAATGTAAACGTAGTTAGTGTCAAGTTCAGAACACCAGCACTTCAAGGGTAAAGAAAACGAGCAGCTTCTCGAGTGCATTTAAATGGACAAAACATTTATACTCGTGATAACGTGTGTTGGCCAGGGAATCCACCAGACAATTGTATTCACCGATATTACAATAAAGGAATTGATCAAGCGTAAAATTCCTGTAGTATTCGTATAGTAACCAATAATGCAATAATCTGATTTGTCAGTTAAATTAATATTGGTGCCTCATTTGCTAATCTGACGCCAAAAAATATAGTCCCGGTTCCCATGCAAAATATTTGTCCAAAAATAAATTTTAATTCGTGACAGCAGAAAAAAATGCATCGTAGAGAATGAATAATTTAAACTTGAATGAATTCAAGAGAGATCGATTGAGGTACATTTGTACAGAATGATATTATAGGGCGATGAAAATTAAAACGCAACATAACTTTTCTGTTAACCATGTATCCACGTGCTAGTAACTTCCTAGCCACATTTCCGTGAATAATTTATCCTATCTCGCTGAAGTCTCACTAACTCTCACCAGAGCCACTGTCAGAGCTACTCTGAACTCATCGGATTTTAAACTCGAAAAATAAAAGGTTCCGAACACACTGGGGATTTGAAACTCTTCACTAGGGTACGGCGACGTCTCTATATGAGTGAAAAATTCTCGATTTAGACGTTAAACAATAAACATATACAATTAATCAATCATATAAGTTTCATGCTAAAAGCAATATGAGCTAACTTATCTAGTAAGTATTTTCTAAGCATAAATTTCAAATCATGAAGTCTCAATCAAATATTTCGTGTGTTTATCCTTTTACTACTTGTATGTTTTTATGCATACCTTTTACTACTTGTATGTTGTTTGAATCTTATGAAAGAATTGTTTGAGTTCGTATCTCTTTAAAACGAATACAGTGTATCTTATTGAATAACCAGTCAGTTATCTTTATTATAACCAGATATTTATCTCGTTCAATTGATATAATTATCCAGTAATTATAAAGAGTTCTTTTTTTATATACCTTTAAGAATTCGTTTATTTATAAATCATTTAATTTCTATAAAATACTTGATTCTAATTGGTTTAAAAATTCTTTTGATACCTGCCCTGCATCAATAAAATCTAGAGTTCACTTGCACTAAGCAGCCGGAACTACTTTGGCAGTCTCTCCAGGTATATTTCCCGCTTCCAGGTTACTTCTTGAAGGAATATTTAAATATTATTACTTTAATAAATATTTTCCTGAATTTCGAAACCTGTCCGTTACGTTTCTGACTTATTTTCTACTTTCTTTGTTTTGAATTATCCCCCTTTGCTAAACAAATCAAATCGTCTGCATAACAACAATACAGTTTTGGGAAAGAAGGAAAGAAATCGACATACTTTTGTTAAATGTTTGGCTTTGATATATCTGGTATAAACAATAGAATTCTGAAGATTTTTTTATGCTACCAAAGAGAGGAAAACCGTTAATATCTTAAACAGGTCGCGACCACTAGATTTTCTGACGTCAGAATAAATATGCATGTAAATCACCTAATTGTTTACTTTACCTACTGCTGAATGAGCCGCAGTGCATGGTGGGCTACTACAAGTACCTA